GAGTGCAACAATCGACGAGCCGCAGATGCATGTGTATGACTCATCTATGAATGCTATGTATGGCTTCCGTTCACGACCTCGTCCGCGGGAAACCCCGTATGTCACAAGATACGGACGGGTGGTCAGACCTTGTGTTTAATGGAAAACGTGTTAAAATACAATCTTCTGGAACATGATGTGCATGTGCATGTGCATGTGCACCTTTGAATGGTGGATATGAAGTAGTAGATAGAGGTGTGAGAGGAAATAGTTGCAATAGGTGCAAGAGACAATGTTTTATTGACTGGTTTTTTGCTTTGAATTTTTTTTCGGAAACAACCTCTGTCTACTTTATAATGTGCGGTTCAATGATTTTTTTCATTGAACATTTTTCGCAATTCTGTGTCCGGTGCTTCCGTCTACGAAGGTGCAATGTTAGGAAAAGACTACGCAAGTTGCGAGTGTTTCCATCTCGATGTTGCAGTGACAAGAGTAAATGTTCTGAATGGATGTTATGCATCTTGTCCATGCAAAGAAATGACACGCCGATGACCTTGCAAGTGTTTCGATCTCTGATGTTCATGCCATGGGATGCATGCATGTCTTACAGTCCTGAGCATACTCATGTCAAGGAGAGGATCGATGTTTGCGATGACAAAAGTGAATGTTAGGAATCTATGTTATTGATTTGTCCATGCAAATGACAAGAGAGCGTCCGTAGTGTGTCACCGCGCTGGTGGTGTGCGTTTATGTCGCAATCCGCTAGTTGTCCATGCAAATGTCCAATAACTGCTAACCTACGGGATATGGAGTTCAATTTTGTTTCTTGAGTGCGAAACTCTGCTCGAAACAGATCCAAATCCAACAGGAAGTCCCACCACAGACCATCAAACCTTGCCCCGGTGGCGGACTTCAGCATCCAAGACTGCCCAACAACTGCTAACCGGCGGCAAGCAAATCCACACTCAGCATCAAGGTTCCCTTAGATTGCGTGGCCATCCGCACAGACAACCAACGACTGTTTAACACTTGTTGAAGGTGCTCAGTCACCAAACCGATATCTGCGAATTGATTCGCTGTTCAACTACTATCTGTCAATGCCTTTTCTGGTTAAAGCAAGGAGCTCTCTCTCTCTCTCTCTCTCTCTCTCTCTCTCTCTCTCTCTCTCTCTCTCTCTCTCTCTCTCTCTCTC